TAATTAACTCGCTTTGCAATGCATTAAGTGTAACTTCTTAAAACAGAAATGTTCCATCAAATGACAAAATAGAAATTCTTATAAGTCACAACACAGTTTGTGAAACAGATTGGCACATACAGCATCTTAAATGCTACTTAAATGCTATTTCTAGTAAATATTTAGAATGAATAGTGCACAGCTTACCTATGAACACCTAATATTTGACTACATTACTAATTTTCATAAAATCTCTCACTGGCTAGCTCCTGTGAAGTAAAACATCCTCTGGCAAAAATACAATTCATGGCTGGGAAGGTGGCTCAGAGGTAGAGTGCTTGCCTTGTGTGCATGAGGCCCTGGGTCCCATTCTTCAGGACCACATAAGCAGAAAACGCCGGAAGTGGCGCTGTGGCTCAAGTGGTAGAGCGCTAGCCTGGAGCTGAAGAACTGAGTGACAGGCCCCACAACCGACCAAAAAAAAAAAAAAAAATTTCATTTCTTCTACTAGTTTAAAGAAGATTTTTTTTATTTTCTTCTATCAAAATTAAGTCACATTTCAAAAAATTTAATCCATCTCTGAATCAAATTTTTAGGGATAGCTGAACTATTCATTTAAATATCCAGATAAATCATCTCCTTACAATGAAACAGTTTCATCACAATTTTCTTGTTAATCTCAGAGTACAGAAAATCTCTAATAAAGTGTTTGTGACTACAATCCTCACACTAAATTAGCCAGTAAACAAAAAAGATGGACTTCCCATAACTAAAAGAAGTCACTACTATAACTTAATGTTACTTAACAGAATGCCTTGAGATTGTTCCCAGAATTAAATATCTAATACACTCATGAAAAGAATGATCAGAGCATTCCAAAGAAAGTAATAACCAAGCTATTTAAGCACCTGGCATAAACTCAAAGAACTCTTCCAGTCCTAAATACACACACCAACACCCATTCCTCATGAAGAAAAGGAAACGAACAAATCAACCTAACTTTTTCCCATTGAGCACCATCAAGCAATAGAAGAGCAAAACATTTGTAGCATTCATGTCTTAGGTAACATGATTTTCTCTTTAAAATTATGAACTCATCACACATACAAATAGCTCTTTAAAAATGGTCCAGTAAACTGCTACTCTATGCCTTAAATTGCTGTCTATTATGTACTTAAAAATATTTACTAGCAATTGGAGGTTAATATGGCAACTATTACCGGGTGGCAATTATTGCTATTAATAATAAATACTGCAACACCATGTGCTACTAACAACAAATGCCAAATAGAAAACACACATTAGCAAATTATAAATATGTTCAATAAAGGAAATGAACCATAAAAATGCTTCAAATGTAAATATTAAAATTGCAAATTGAGATTTTTTTAAATATCCACACAGTATTTTAGCACTTCAGAAGATTAGAGAAAACATTTACTTTTTTAGTCATTTCATTTGGAAGTCCTCCCCGTTCAGATTTTGAAGATTTTTACAATTCTCTACTATTTCTAGAGAGAGGAAAAAAAACTAAGCTAAAAAGAAATTAGGTCAACAGGTTACCTTAAAAGCTTCAAATATAAAATTAAAAGTCCTCAATAAGAATTAAGTACTGATGTGTGTACATGTGTTTTAATTTAGTGAGAATTTGAGAACATCACCCAATTACCCATAGTCAGCAATATGCTAAAGCAAGTAAAACAATATGCATGTGAAGCAAGTATCTTAAGAATTAGTGATGGCTCCTTCAATCTAGCTAAAAGACACAAAAATTACTTTCCCCCTATTACTTCCATAGAGAAACAAAAACAAAAAGTAACATCTGGAAATTATGATGTGTCTTTCCACTAGGGTGAACTCACTACCATAGGGTGCATTGCTGCACTTTCCAAAAAGTCAGATTTAACTCACTTAGCTGAATCGTAACTGGAATACATATAGCAAGGGTCACCAGAAATGTGATGGACAGCACGAGAAAACAATTTTGAGTCACAAAGGCACAGCCGGGCATGTATTTAATGCAGACTACAAATCTCACAGCAGTAGGAAGAAACACATACAATGATCCACATCATACATCCACAATGGCATTTTCACTGGTTAAGAATGAGGAATGGGAGGTTGAAAACATAATTTACAGAATGTGATGCTGTGATAGAGAACCAGGAAACAAAGTAAAGATTACCAACAATCATAAGGCATATGGTTGCACAATCCACTTTAACTAATCGGTATGACCACTTCAAGGGAACAGAAAGTGGGTGGGTCATTTCTGTGATACAAACTAATCTTTAACTTGTATTTCACTCTACACTAATAATAGTAGTACCTAGAACAAGTCTTCAGAAATGATACTTTTTTTCTGCTCACAAACCAAAACAAAAAACTATAGGCTTGCCTGGAATCTTTTAAGTTCCCATTTCCTGCATGAGGAGCTGGAAATGTTTCTCTTTTCCTATTTCTCCCTACTTAACCCTGTTATATTAAAAGAAATCCTTGCAATAAAAAAAAAAAATCTGCAAGTATATATCACACACACCATCCCATTACTGAGTCAACTTTTTATATAAATCATGCTCTATTTTAAGATACTTCCTTGGGAATTAACAACTGTATATAATGTACTTAGGTACCATGTTTTTAATATTCTAGGTTGTTGATGTACATGATTTGCAAGAAAAAAATTAATCTTGGAGCCAGAAAACCTTACAGGTCAGCAGTCTGTCTCATAATTTTTAAAAATTAAGACCTATCCTCTTCTACAAAACTGTTTCCATAAAAGAAACCCAAACACCTTCTTTAACATTACCACATTTACTTAACCTTTAAAAAATACAGAAGAAATTACCCAAAAGAGTAACTACACATATAGTTTGATCTGTCCACAAAATTTAGTGTATATAAATTAGCCGTCGACACACAAGCCATTACTAGTCAGCATGATAGATGGTAATTTGGGCGCTCTCTCCTCACTAGTGTGGGTCTACTTGGTTATTTTAATTACCTGTAAAAGTGTCAATGTGGTCACCAGCTGCCAAACAAAAACCATTTTAAGTACCCTTTGATCAATACGTTTGCTGATCTATGAAAATCCTTGAACCTAATACTAAATGACAAGATTGAGGGAGAAAAAGAAGAGGCAAGAGGTGTTTTATTCTCACATATCAAAACATCAAGGGAGAATTAACACATTGATAGGAAAAACTACAACTTACAATTATTTATCCAGATTAATAACTGGATTAAAATATTGGATTAAAAAAATAGCCCCACGATCAACACACACAAAAAATAGCCTATTGCTATAGTCGAAGCAATGATAATGTGTCATTCAGTCTTTGTAGATAAAAATCAAAGGTTTACTTTATCTGCATAAACTAACATTCAATAACACTTCCACTTGAAAAGTTGGCAAGAATTTGTATTTCTCCATTAGTTTCAAAAAAAAAAAGCATCTATGCTACCCATAATTAAATGTAACTAATTACAATTTGAACAGCAAATTATCCAGTGTAAACAAGGATTAAGATAAAATAATGCTTCTATCTACAACAGAGGTTGCAGAAAATAATCTACAACTGTTTGTTCCCCAAAAGGTAACAGGCACTCCCCGCAAAAAACAGGGTACACAATTTAAAATAAATTGGGGTTTTAAGGCTAAATTAAATAAGCCGTTCGGCCAATTTTCCAATTATATTCTGAACTTGAAACATAATTGCCTTACATCTGTTTACAAATCTTTGCTCGATATTTAAACAAATTCGTACTCTCCCGGGCACATTACTATACATACAGTAACTCCGGCACAAAGCACATATTTAAAGACCACGCACTGCAATTATTAGCCTAAACGCCAGGTTTAACAACGTGAATGCTTTCGGAGCTAGGTAATACGACCCAATAAAAAGCAAAGATGGCATTTACCACCAAATGTCACTGCCACTGCCAAGAAAGAGTTGCCGGAGCCCTATCCATTTTTAATTTCGATGAATCTAGGCGCCGTCGCTGGGTAACAGGCTTCCAAGGAGAACAATCGACATCCTAACTGCTGCAAGATTAAGGCCGGCGAGGAGGCGAATCCGAGGGAAAAGTTGTCAATTATCAGAGAAGAGAGGCGAAGGCAGATAAAAACGATGCTATCGAATCGCCCGGCTTGTAGCTCTGTGTGTGTGCGTGTGCGTGCGTGTGTGTTGTGAGGACAGGGGAAACAGTTGTTAAAGGACACGGGCGGAGAGGGAGCGGCGGCGGCGTCCTCGCCTCCGCGGCTCGGGCAGGGGCTTTCGGGCTCTCCGGCGTAGTAACCCCGAGGCCGGCGGCCGTCCGTGTTTACAATCGCGGCCGCGTCGGGGCCGGAGCCCGTCCTGGGCCGCCTCGCTCGCGCTCCCCGGCGGCGTGCGGGGGCCACGGCGGGCGTCGTCACGGAAGGTGATTTTTGTCTTTGTAAATGCACCGGGCGGGCGACCCGACCGGAGGGCACCGGGCGGCCGCTCGCGGGCGCGGGCAGCAGCACCAGGCAGAGCCTCGCACACGGGGGGGGGGTGGGGGGGGGGAAGGAGGGCAGAGAAAGGGGAGGGGAAGGGGGTGTGATTTGCCACGGAGGGCGGGCGTGGGGAGTGCGACCCCGAACCCGCAGCCCGGAGACTTCCACACGCCAATTCCACGCCGAACGCCGCGCTCACCGATGGCTTTTAAAGAGCCAAATAAACACGGGCTGGCATCCAAGGCGAGGGGGAGAAGCTCCAAAAGGGAGAGAGAGAGGGAGGGAGGGAAGGAGGGAGGGGGCGGGGGAGGATCTGAGAGGGGCGACCGTCCGGGAGACGCGAGGGAGGGGCGAAGTCCCGGCGGCGGGAGGAGAAAGTTGGTCGGCGGCGGCGGCGGCGGCGCGGCCGGGCCCCCCGCCCCCTCCCTCAGCCCCGCGCCCGGCCCGGCCCGGCCCGGCCCGGCCCCCGCCCCGCGCTCACTCACTCGCTCTCGCTCTCGCTCCCGCGCGCGCGCGCACGCGCGCGGCCCCCACGACTCACCAGCGAGAAGAGGTTGGAGTGACAATCCTCCAGGCTCGCCCCGTTCGCCACCCAGTTCGCTGCCGCAGTCATGATCCTCCGCGAGCCCGGCCGCCAGAGCGGGGCATGTCGGAGCGAGGCGTCCGAGGCGAGGCCGGGCCGGGCGGCGGCGCCTCGCCGGGGAGCGCGGGGCGGCCGGGGCGCCGCCGCGGCCGAGGGAGGGCGCGAGGGCCGGCGGCCGGGCGGCCGGGCGGCCGGGCGGGAGGCAGGCGCCGCGGCGGCGACGCCGCGCCGGGGGCGGCGGGCCCGGGCCGGCGGGCGCGCGGGCGCGGGGGGGGGGGTCGGCGCGCGGCTCCTTCCTGCTCGGGCGGCGGCGGCGGCGGCTAGGGCTCCGGCTCCGGCTCCGGCGGCGGCGGGGGGCGCTGTCCGCGCGGCCCGGCGCCCTCCCCGCCTCTCAGGGCCGCCGCTGCCTCTCGGGCTGGCGCTGCGGGGCCGGCCGCCGCCTCCGCCTTCCCGGCTCCTCCGCCGCCGTCGCCGCCGCCGCCACCTCCTCCTCCGCCGCCGCCGCCTTGTTTATCTCCAGCCACCGAGTCCCCCTCGGGCCCCGCCGGCGCGTGAGGGGAGGCGAGCCCCGGAGCCGCCGCCGCCGCCGCCGCCTCCGAGCCGCCGCCGCGGAGCACGAACTCGCGAAGGGGGGGGTGCGGACGAAGCCAGCGGGCGACCCCGGCAGCCGAGCGACGTCCCCTCCTTCCTCTTCCTCCCCCACCCCCCCCTCCTCCCCAGTCAGCCTCGCTTCTCCTCCCTCCCCGGGCTCGCTCGCTCTGACAGCAATGGCGGCCGCCGACCGCGGCTCGGCCCGCCATTGGCTGGCGCCGGGTCACGTGACGGGCGCCGGCCGCGCGGGGGGGGGGGCGGGGAGCGGGCGGGGGAGGGGCCGGGAGCGGCGGCGGCGGCGGCGGCTCCGGGGCGGCGCTGCTGAGCCGAGCGCCGCCGGATCTTCGAGCCGGGAAGAGGGAGGAAGAGAAAGAAGTACGGGGCGGCCGGGCTCCTGGCGGGCGGCCGGCTCCGAGAGCGGGCCCGGGGCTGGCTCCGGCGTGGGCGCCCCGCCCCTCGCGGGCCGGGGCCTCGGCGGGGCGGGAGGACCGCGGGCCTCGTCCCCCTCCCCACGGAGGCACGCCCTCTGCGGCCTCGGGACCCGGGCGGGTGCTCCGGCCGGGCCCCCGGGTCGGGGGCCCGCCGCAGCTCCCCGGAGGCTCTCGCCTCGAAGCCTCGCGCGCAAGGAGGAGAACCGAAGCACAAAGAGATTAGGTCACTTGCCCCAGATCTCGGGATTCGAACCCGTGCACGTCGCAGCCTAGTTCTCCTGCTGGGATCTGTACACCCACATCCAGGGAGTGACCCCCGTGCTACTATGTGCGGTTACCATTTTTAAACTCCTTACTTCTAGTTCGTGCTCGCCTGCCTGCATTCATTCATTCATAAGTTGCATCAATGTTTCCTGCACTCTTGCTCCGGGCGATGGCTGTGTTGGGAGCAGATCCTCCCTCCTGGCTCCCTTCTTTCCGTAAGCAACATTTCCATTTCCTGGAGGTATTGGGCCTGGAGAGTGCGGATAGGAGGCTCTCCAGCCACCAGGGCAAGTTGTTGGGTTTTTTACCCCTGAAAAGATGGGGAAGGCAAAACTTGCAACTAAGAGGAAGAATGGAAATCCGTAGAGAGAGATGGAAGTTTAGTAACTGTGTGTGTGTGTGTGTGTGTGTGTGTGTGTGTGTGTGTGTGTAATGTAACTTAAACTGGGCCTGGACCTGAGCCTTAGCTTTATCACTCAAGGCAGGCACACTACAATTTGTGCCACACCTCCACTTAATTGGAGATAAGATTTTCCTCATAGCCTGGCTCTGCACCCCAGTCCTCGCATCTCAGCCTCCCAGTATGAGCCACTTGCGCCCCACTAAGGCAGAGAAGTCTTAAAATATATGAATGGAGCTTTTGAACTACCACGAAGGGCGCTGCAGCAAGATCCACAGGCTGTGAGTTCTACTTATTATCACTGAAGTATGTGACAGCTGGTTGACACTGTTGGGACCTGGATGGGGGAAGCTTGGAACCACCACTGCAGATGCTGCTGTTACTTTCAACTGGAATAAGGCCAACCTTAGAGGTTTGCAATGACGTTTCCAAGCTCACACGGTTTCTGATTACCTTAAGTCCAGGTCTGAACCCAGGAAGCTGGCTGGAAAGATGCCAAGGGGCTTTGCGTTGCCATACTATGCTGTGACACCCTAATGCACGTGGTTTTACCCTGAGGAAAAACAGGTTCTAATTGTGACCCACTAACCTCAAGCCAATATGACAAATTGCTGTGGAGATGACAGTGTTTGCTGTCACATTATCAGCATGTGGGATGACACTGAGACCTGAGTGATCAGAGCAGACCAACGCCCATCACCCTCCACACCAATTGCATGGTTCAGCAAGGCTGGAGGTTTTAACAACAAAAACCTCCCAGAACAAAACCTAATCGAAAAGTGAACAGATTAGGAAGTGCTGGCCTTAAAAGAGGAATCCCAACCTCACTGCTGGGATTAAAGAATTTGGGGTTTTTTTTGTTTTAATAGTACTAGGACTTGAATTCAGGGCCCGAGCATTTGTCCCTTAGTTTTTTTGCTCAAGGCTGGTGCTTTAGCAGTTGAGCCACACAGCTTAAACCACTTGTGGCTTTTTGGTGGTTAACTGGAGAAAAAAGTCTCACAGACTTTCCTGCCCAGGCTGGCTTTGAACTGTGATCCTCAGATCTCAGCCTCCTGAGTAGCTAGGATAACAGGTGTAAGCCACTTGGCAGGGCTAGGACTAAAGATTTGTGGCTCACCCAAAACCTGATCTGTTGTTAACCACAATGGAATTTTAGCCCTTGGGAGATCATTAGCATGAGAGTAAAGTCCCCAATTATATGAAACGATATGAAACAGGAGAGAGCTGGAAACTGGTTTCTCTCTCTGCCATGTGAAGATAGAGAACCAGGAAGAGCATCTTAGCCCAAACTGGAACTGACCAGCAGCCCCTTCATCTTGGACATCCCAAGGACATCCCACATCCTTAACTGTGAAATACATTTCTGTTGTATTAGCCACTTCCGTCTATGGCAACCTGTTACTGAGGCCAGAGTAGTAGTCTAAGGTACTCAGCCAAAGGAAAACAAATTTAAGCCCATAACACTTGACAGTTGTTGTTTTAATCTTAGGCCTATGTGGAGAACAGAAAAACTCTACAGTCTTTGGGAAACATAAATTAGTACCATAGCTTTGGCTGACAATGCATGTGCCCTTTGACCCAGGAATCTTACCTAGACAAGTGTATCCTGTTATGGCACTAGTGTAGATGCAAGGTAGTGTACAAATAGGAACTATAGCACTGTCTGTAGGCAAAAACTGGGAACTACTTACTCGTACATCATTTGGGGAAGAGCTAACAAAATGATTTAATCCCACGCAGCCATTAAAATAATGAGCGCTATGTGTGCTAATACAGAATGATCTCGAATATAGATTATTAATTGAGATACCTCTGGAAGGTTAACAAGACACTACTGCTAGCACTAGTCTCTGGGGAGCAGAGCTAGGAGTTGAGAAAGAGGAGTTACATTTGTTGTACTGTTCAATTTTATTATTGTTGCTGTTATGTTTGTTTAATGGAGACAGACTCCAACCATGTTGCCCAAGCTGGCCTTGAATTTGCCCTTCTGCTTTGTGAGTGCTGAGATTACAGGGATATACCACCACACCCAGCTTTCATTTTTCGTAAAAAAAAAAAAGTGTGTGTGTGTGTGTAAACTGTCGGTGCTGGAGCTTGAATTCACAGCCAGGATTCCCTCCCTTAGTTTTTTTGCTCAAGGATGGCACCCTAATCTTTGAGCTGCACCCACACTTGAGACTTTTGCTCGTGGTGGTTAATTGAAGATAAGAGTCTCATGGACTTTTCTGCCAGTAGTTGGCCTCAACTCTCAGCCTCTTGAATAGGTAGGATTACAAGTGTGAGGCACCAGCATCCGGCTCCTCCCTTTTAAAAATACCAAATGCATATATTACCCCTTCCATGCAATTAGGGAGAAACCATTTTTAAAAATAACAAAAAAGACGACTCAAATGGCATCATAAAGGTGAACTAAAAAACAAGCACAATACACTGTGATGGTGCACACCTGTAATCCCAGCATTTGGAAGGTGGAGACAGGAAGATCTCTGGTTTTGTACCCATCTGGTCTACATAGTTTCAAAGTAGAAGAGAAAATCCTGAAAGTGCTACAAGTGATCTCCCTGGCAATAGGAGCCCAGAATGAAAAGCAGAGCAACTGGGTTCTAACCTCAGACATGCTGCTCAAACTTTCTGGGCCTCACGTTCCTCACACGTGCCAAACAGTAGCCTGGAGGATCCTTGGGGTCTTTCTAGCAAGGGCTTTGTCTGCACAGTTGAGATGATTAAGATCCAGAGTTCTCTCTAGATGGAGAAAGCAATGGGAGTCTATGGGAAAACCTCAGGAGATAAGATTAACACAGAACAAAACAAAACCTAACAACTGACTGACCGGAAGGAGCCAGGGACCAGGCACAGGACTGGAGTCTAGTTCCCAAGATGGGAGGTGCTTTTCCAGATAGCTTCATGACTCAGTTTCTCTCTTTAGGAGACTCCCTGCTGTCCTAAGCAGGAAACAAAAAGTTCCACTCTGCCAGGGTCTCAAGGCCTTCTTCTGAAAATGGCAGGTTAGTTCCCTTTTATGGTTTCCAAATATAAGGGTAGAGTGAAAACAGAAGCAGAGATAGAAGCCGAGGAGGAACCATCGATTAGACCGCAGGAAACTGCCACAGTTGCAGAGTGGAGCCATATGGTAAAGAGTTAGAATATGGCTTCCCAGTAAGACACACCTGGGTTCCAAGCCCTCAATGTGCAAGCTTAAGTGGGTCATTTAACCCCTGCGACCCACAGTTCTTCCAGGCACTGACCTCACACACACACGGCGATGACCAGCGAAGTTCTTCAAGCCATGCAGGGCCCCAGAGGCAGTGATCAATGAACTTCAGTAATCACGGGTCATTTGTCCACCCTCACATCACATCCCGTCACAGTGAGCATCTCCTTCCCCTCTACCATATTTTTC